TTTATCCAAAAATGAAAATCTTATACTAATATGCTGGCTAATGAATATAGTTCTTCTTTACTATATATACTGTTCTGTGAACTAATAACCATATTGTATAGGATCGCTTATACTACTATTCATCTCTACCCTGCAAATTATTATCGTGATACTGTGGTGTTCACAAAAGCTATTAATAACTAGTTTAAAATAGTGCGAGTGTCTTATAAAAATAATAAGATCACTAGTTATTAAAATTTGCTTTCAGTGGAATATTATTATCATCATGGAGTATCATCATCTTGTCTTGTGCAGCATTATCTAAATAGACATTAACGAGCTCTACAGAACATTTAATTAGTAATACATAAAACAAAATTGAGGCTCTATCTATTAACCAACATAACTGACTATAACGAGCGATAGACGGATAATATAAATTTTTGCTTTATGTGAACACTACTTCTCTTTATACTAACATTTTACAGGCTTTCTCGTCGATATCTATACGAATAAAGATTTTTGAACCGTATCCCACGTATAGCAACGATATGTTATAAGATAATAATAATTACATTTTATAATAAAAAGATGAACTCATGTTTATCGACATTCTAAGAACTATGGATCTAAACTAGACAACATTGGACAATATATTTTCAACTGAACAAGAGCAATTATTATCAACATTGTTTGACTTTATATCATATTTATTTTCGATTATATATAGATTGTGTAGCTTATAATAACTAAAACTGTTTACATTTACTCCCAAGTAATGGTACATTAAAATTGTATTTCTTTCTAAAAATTATTTAACTTCTAAGTTAGACCATCTTATATGTTCCAAGGTTATAAGCTGTATCGCATAAATAGACACTGTTCATATAAATAAAAAAGTTCTACTTATAGTTTCCACTACCCAGAGATTATCTACCTAGATTTAATCTACAAGCTATTCTTAATTTAATGCCTATCAAATAACTTTGTAAATATCAGATCTCTACGTATTATTGAATTATTATCTTATATTCATATCATTATATAATACTTTAAATACATCTCAAATACGTCTTGAATGTGTCACACAAAGAATTGAATATATAGCTTGACAATTGGTATATTTAATATATATAAAACACTGTTCATTACCAATACCGTGAGTATCATCTCAACTACGTCAAATTAATGTGTATGTGCATGCTTTAATGACTATCTCTGTGTTCTTGTTTCATGAAATGAAATTCAAATTGTGACGCAGAGTTTTGTCTAGCGAAGGTATAGTACCTCATACGACATCACACTGTCTTCATATTTTTTAGTTACGAACAACATATTATATTCATTAAAACGATTTTCACCTCATTTGTCATACTACAGTTAACAAGCGTTATCTGGTGCGAAAAGTCATCTAGCATATACATATGATTAAGTTCCTTCTGATCAGTTTTTCAATGTTTTGGAACTAGATACTAAAGAGTGTGTTTAATTACAAATGATTATCTATTGTGCATGGAAGTCAATTGTTTTCTGCTTTATTATATTTAATTCCATTGAGACACATATTATGATCAACCATACACCAATCATGTTGTTTTACTACAATGATGAAATTTATTTTTCTTGTGTGCGAGTCCATCTCAGTAAGTACCGTTCCAGTATATAATATAACATACAATAAACATTTACCCTGTAGTGTTGAATCCGATAGATAGAGTGGCTTAGAGTGAGTAAACCAAAATATAGTGTGTGCTGACATGTGATACAACTATAATTTAGAATATATATCTGCAAAGGATATAGTATTTGCACCAGTGTTATATCAGATATTCTATACATTTTTATCTTTCTGAGGTCATATTATATGCTCACATTTAAACATTTTTTAACACTCTATGTGCTCTTTTAACGTCTAGATTTGCAATTGATCTTATAGTATTTAAAGTAGTAACTAATTGAACATCAGAAAGAGTGCTTGAGTATAAACATTTATGAATGTGAATAATAGCAACTACTTCTGTGTGCGGTAAATAGAATAGTTACTTACAATGTATTGATTTGATTTATTTTAACCGGCAAAGTTGTGTAGATGTTGCTCAACCTGAGACTATATTCCAACTCTACCAGTCTCGAGTGAAAGAATATGTCAATGTGAGTTTTGTGCCATATAATAGGCAAACAATAGTACCGATGAAAACAATGAACAAATTCTTCTTCATTCGATTTTTACTACAAATCTCGCCGGCATAAATATCTAGAGACAAGATTACTTGCACTTCTTATCTTTCATTGTTCGGAATCAAGTACATATTATTAGTAATCTAGTTGTAATCCAACATTTTTAATAATATTCAACTTATGATAAAGTATTTAGAAATACATTAGAAAATCAAATAAAATAACAAAGTGAATCTCATTACATACACGATAATATATGCATCCTGTTATATGACATGACAAGTAGAATACAGAGATCATTGTTCTGATTATATAATAATATGATTGTTCAGCTTGTCACGTGGATTTCTGTTGTGCGAGTTTAATCGTTTGTAATGCAATATAATAGAGTCTGTGTGAAGAACTACGCTACGGAATTTCTCCACTGCATACCTCCGATAGCCATATTTGAATGGGGGTGGCAACAGTGATAAAACGGAAATCAGTGGCAATTACTGTGTTTATTTCGCGAACACAACATTTTTCTTGACAGATTAGCAAAATACTACACATCTAATTACTTCATATACTCATAAACACTATTCAGGTGCTTTAAGTTACAAAATATCTTCGCAAAACTAGTGCCTCCTTGACACAATTAACCTTCATGCATAAGTACTGTTACAACTTTTATGTATACGACACACAATCACCTAAAACTGCACAGTTGGCTTGTATAGGCGTGTTGTATTCTCTCCTGCATTCGCAAGATACATAATACTACGATTATTATTTAATTTTTGCCTAAATACGCACTATTTACCTATCTATCAGGATAAAACAACAAAACACATACGTGATCGGTTAGTGAATTACGAATGTTAGGTACTATTTTATTACAATAATCGTGATTATACAAGAACATAATCAGGAAATACAGTCTAGTGCTTGACAACAAACATATCACAAGTTGGACAAACAAAGCATCTATAATTTTACGAGTGGTTGAATATTACTCTTATACTCATTGATATACAGATTCACAAATGTATGGTATATTTATCGAACAAAGTCGTGTGGCATAAATCTCAGTAATAATACAATAGACAAGACATAATAATAAATTTGAATTAAGACTACCACATCGAATATATTAGGTTGATAGATTATTGTTACAAAATCCAAATCTGAATAGGCTGTTGTTTATTTTGCAAATTAAAAGAACTAATATATATCTATTACGATATCGAGTATTTTACTATAATTACTAATCAGCCTTCAATCAAATGCCTCTAATTGCCGTCAATCTTCCATGTATAATATGTCATATGTAATTTGATATGTATGATTTACTACATGTAGTTTTACAAACTTCGTATTATTGGCACAAATATATCACATTTTGCAGTTGAAGAATAAAAATATGATTCACAATTTCTAGTTGGACATACAGAGACGCGATAACCGCGCTTATGACTATAACATTTATAAAAGAGTTAAATTGCTTTATCTCTTTGAGACACAAGTTTCTGTCGAGGTGAACTGTTAGTTCTAAGTAACCACAGATCAATATTACTACTGTGTTGTATCTACTTAAGTGTTTATGTTTCAGTGCTATCCATAACTATTCATCATCGTGTATACAATAGCTAACATATCAGACTAGCGGTCGTTTATGAGTTCTACATAGTAGCAGTGTAGCCAAGCAAATTGCAACTTAATACATATCGCATTTTCTCTTATGTCAGTAATTTTTAACTTTACTGTCTTTTTTTATTTGAGAGCGTTTATAATTCACATATCTCATAATCAGTAGTCTTTGGTAACATAGCGGTCCACTATATTCAGTATCAAAAGTCATAGTTACTTCGTTATCTTACTGTCCTGGTTAACTATATCTGAGTTATCAGTTTGAACTATAAATTGACATCTTTAAAACAAACGAATATATACATGACATGGTATAAATGTTAAATTAGAAAAATACTTTGACACATTTATACGACAGAATAATGTAATATCTGTTATTAATTGAAACATTTCAGTTTCTGCCATAAACAACATTTCAGATGTAAGATGGTAGCGATACAATGTTTACAAAAATCTAAGCAATTCCATTGTCATAAAGCAAAATGGTAGTATAAACATGTCATATTCTTTTGTAATTATGGGAGAAAAAAATAGATAAAATTATCGGCATATGATTAAACCATGAAAATGACAGAAACACAGAGATTTAACTATTGCAGTTACGCATTTTTTATTAACATGTCTATGTTATGCTTAAATTTGATTTTTTACATATGTCACAGCGATCTGATTCAATATTCTGATTACAGAAAATATTCCAATGAATTAATTCACTGAACTAAATACAATATTTTTCATTTCATTAAAGAATTCTGAAATATATACCCCTGACTTTTCTAATTATATAGACAATGATTATAATAAACTTACTTTGATATGTTTACAGTTATATTATCTTAGCTAAGTTTAGTACACAAGTACCTTGGATAAAATGAATGAGTAAAACCTCGAAAGCCCGTAAGCTTGCTGGATTGATTAATCACAAGAATCACCAGAAACAATTCAAAGACCCCAAGGGGTTTGAACCCATTGTTATACGGGACGAGTGGTTTAAAAACAATGATCGGAATGATTCTATATTTTACGGTATCTGATGCCCCTTGATATAAACATATGATATCAATTGTCGTTAGTGTCTAAACACCCGGTTTCGTCGCAAAATGTTACTGTCATTTAAAAATTATATGATGGAATAAATGATATTTAAACTTAATTCAATAAACTAAAAGTAATTAACAAAATTACTTAGTGTAATTTAATCTAAATTGCCTTACCTGTATATTCGATTCCTTTAGGTTGCTGTTCGGGTAGGTTTTAACAATCATTAACTGATTATGTGACTGTGTACATTGACCAGTATCTATTGATAACAGTTTATTATGTACTGACATGAAACTTTAAATTTAAAGTCAATTTCATTATCTGGTTCAATAACAATATTATTACACTATTGAGTCCTTCAGATTAATTTAAGCGATCATATTAAATTGTTATTTATTTGAAACCCTTATAGAAGTGCTGTTATTGACGATGTGAACAGATTGCATATGACGCAGTACAAAACTAGCACAGTTGTCGCATAATATTCAGTTCAAAAGATTTATTTGTGTTCTTACGCTTTTATACCGGAAGTTTCAGTTGGTTTGTAAAAGGTGTTACTCATCGTATTACAATTACGAAAATAAACATCTACTTTGTTTTGGTTGCTGTCTCTTCATTTGTTCAAACGTTATTATAAAAACACATGCAAATAAAATAGTTTACATGTCAATGTTGTAGAAAACTATTGACCTTAAATAGTATAAACGATATGATTTTTTTCTAGATGGTCTACGTTTCTTAAAATCTTTTAAATGCAATTGATTTGCTTATATCTGATATCGCAAATTACGTTGTTTTTTATGTGTGTGAAAAATAAATTGGGATAGATAGAAAATTAGTACAATATAAAATAATGATTGCCATAAAACACTGAAGTATGCATTGCGTATACATTTAAAAAGTTAAATTATATAGCTTATTCTGACTTTTAAGGTTTTTTATTGTTATATAAACACTTAATATAAAGCAGGATTCTTACTCTTTTTCACAAAGTAAAGAGTCGTCGGTATAACATGGATATAAAGTTTTCAAATCTTCGGAATGTCTTTGGAATAACATTGTTTTTTTTCTCAAGTTGTATTTGATTTCATAGTGTGCACATTTGCTTTTTTCATTTTTGCTTTTGACATTGAGAACATGTTTTAAATATTTATTATATATATTTTGCAATGACTTGTAATTAGGCATTGCTTCATCTGCACTTTTTCAACATAATACATAAGGTAAATAGAACAATTCAAGATTAACAAAGATTATAAATGCTATGTACGAACGCAACAAATATGCAATCGTTGCAAAAAACGCTAACTTTAACCGATTTTGAATTCAGATATATCCAATATTATACATTAAATTACCTGCAACTGAAATTATAACACTTAAACATAAACACTGGATTAAAATGCTATGTACGAAAGCAACAAATATGCAAACATTGCAAAAACGAGAATCTTAAACCGATTTTGAATTCATATACTCGTATATTCAATATTGTACTCGTACATTAATTTACCTGCAACGGAAATTCTATATAATGAGTTTTTTGTATTGATAAAAGTGGATACACCGCACATCTTTATTTTATGAAACTGCTATATTACTTATTGCTTTAACGCATAACTATATACGTGCGAGAGAGAAAGGCCGAATGTCTTTCCATATCCGAGAAATAATGGAGACAATGCATTTGCTAGTTTTCAGAAAATACTTTCATGATCATTGTTAAACGAAGCATTAAAATTTAAAATTTGAATAACAATTAGATATGACGATTTTCTAGCTATACTGGTGGAGGAAACAATGCTGACACAATAAAATAATTAAGAGTCTACACAAAAAGCATCTCATGTGTATAGTGACAGGATAAATTTTTATTTTGTAATTGACTTCATCAATCAAATAATCTACGGAAATTTTGAAAAAAAAAATCAAACATAAATATGATTGTCATTAATCAATTAAAATGGATTGCCAAACTTCAGTGTAATATTTCCGGATGCTTGAGCTGAAATTTATGTTATGCATCAGAGGCAATGTTTGTTAAATATTTGAAGATGAATTATTTTAAATGATCGTCTCCATTAAGAGAGTACATATTTAAAGTGGTTTATCTTAAAAGTGCCAACACCTTTAAAGCTGGTATTCTGTCTCAAGAACACTTTGATTATGTTTTCTATTGGTATCTATGTTCAAACGAAAAAATATACCAAATTGTAACTGAATTTGAAAATAGGCGTTATTCGTACATTCTTACATTCGTATTGCACTTTGCACTGAATTACAAAGTATCAACAATTCAAACATACATTAGTATTCAATATATTCAAAGAGATCACTCATTGTTAAGATGAATGAAACAAGTAAAATGTATACGATATTCCGCAAAATACACCAATATTTATCATGAATATGCACAATTTACATGTGATTTCTTTGTTCTTATAAATTGATTTTCCTACCGGAAACATCATTGACTTCGTGTAAAATGTCTAAAATACATTTATTGATTTTTAGGCAAAACAAAACTATTATTAAATCAAACGTATTTTACTCTTTCAAAATATATGTCCGTTTAATACGTATTGACCACTGTTTGATTCGATAACACAGCTCCTCGTATTTGTATTTCAACATTAAGATATGAAAGACGTCTACATAATGACAATAATTTACCACGACACATATTGTTGGAGCATAGCATTGCTTGTAGAAGAGTGATTTAAATATCAAGTAGATGACGACAAATACATTATGGTAAGATTTGTTAGATTTACTTTTGCATTTAGCTATCTGATATACTAGTATCTCCAACATGAATATTAAATGGGCTTAGCATATTTACACGTGTGTATAGTTATCTGAGTTAAACATTTAAAAAAACGGGTCTTCTGGTACATACTCTTTATAATTCGTTTAAACAAAAGGCGATTTATTTGTATGGGAAATGAATGAAGAATAATAAACCGTCGTTATCTGAAACAAAACAGTTATTATTTCCTTAATAAATTAAAGTAGCATAATGTACTTATTTCAAAACCTTGAAGTTATTTCTGTAAAATTGATATAATTAAATACAATTATAATATATATATTATTTGAAAATAAACTAGAAATCATACTATTATAAATTAATTAAGACATTGTATTAATGTACAGGACATATTCGGTAAGAGATTTCAATGAATATTAGCGTTTACAGATGACTCTTGAAATTGAAGCATATGCGAACCTCCTAGAACATAA